ACAGACAAACACCGCAGGTCTGTTTCTGCCTTTAATTCCACTCCCCCAACCTTAGTCACCTAGGGGGCTGGGGAGGGGCTTGGAGGCGCAAGTGTGCCTAGGTGAGAACGAGGTGCCTGTTGGCAGGGGCCCCATAGCGCGCCTTGTGCTCTTGGAACAGCCCCGTTAGCCCACGTAGAGGGTGTTGCAGCACCTCCACCTGCGCCCAGCTGCACCCGGATCGGGGCCCCCACTGTGGGCAGAACAGGAGGCAAGAGGGTGGTCACTGGGATATCCCCCCACCCCGGACCAGACTCCCCGTCCCCTTCCTGCCCGCTCACTGCGATTGTTGGGGACAGAGGTCAGAGCCCTAAAGGTTGTCAAAGGCCAGCCAGAGGTGGTGCACTGCCAGGCAGCCAGGATTTCAGGCCCCAACCAACGACCTTTACCACCTGGCCTGGGGAGCGTGAGAGCGCCTGAGCTCCGGAGGCGAGGGCGGAGGGCAGGCCAAGGCTCACCGATGGTGTAGATGGGTGTGCGGAAGGTCAAGAGGAGGCCCAGGCGGCCTTGGAACAGCGTAGGGCCACACACAGCAGAAGCTGCAGGGCTTCCTGTGCCCTCCACACTCAGGAGCCCAGCGGATTCGGGAACTATTGGGAGAGCTCGTTCTCCCCAAAAGAGAAGACAGGCACCAGGGAGGCCCTGTGGGAGCAGAGGTATGCCTGATTCTGGTCCCCAGGGGCACAGGGCAGCCTAGGAGTTCTCTGGCCACTAGCCGCTTTCTCACCTGTGTTTCAGTACCAGCTTGACAAATCCCTTCTGCTTCTGGATTTGCAAGCTCAGCGCTCCAGGCTTTGCCTCCAGAGCCTCCTCCAGCCCTCCCACAACTAGGACTGCCACCTAGCTGCCCCAAGGCAGGGACAACAGATAGGTGGTGATGGCCTTGTTAGAGGACACCAAATGTGGGAGGGAAGAGCTGGAGGACCTGGGGCCTGGGTCTTGAGAAGAGAGAGGGAGGAGGGCACCAGTTAGGTAGAGCTGGGACCAGGAGCCCTCAGATGGGAGTGAGAGTTGACAGCAAAAACTGGGGGTCTTGTGGTGGGGCTCCTCCTTCCTCACCACTACACATGATTAGTCCCAGAAGAGAGGGAAGTGAAACCGACAGGGCAACATGAGCAGGTGGGGTTGGTGGCCTCTGTGCAGAAGTTGCCGAAGGCTCCGGCAACCAGGATGCTGTGAGGGTGGAAGCCGAAGAGGTAGTTATGGGAAGGATCCAACTCTGTGGTTTTAACCAGCTGAAGGGCAGAGGGTGCACACCCAACCCTGGCAGTGCGTTTAGACGTTTGCGGATGACCCTCAGAAGAGTCTATTCTGAAACCCTGTCCCCATTTCAGCACACTGTTCCTGGGGACGCTCACCAAGATGGAGAAGTAGTCCAAGAAATGTCTCCAGATGACCCAGTTGTAGACCCCGGTAGATTGGCGGCCTCCCGCCTGTGGTGCGTCCTTATCTCTAGACCAGGGAGAGGACCACTAGGATCCAGGCTTGGCCTAGAAATGCAAGGAGCATTTCTAGGCCAGGCACACCTGGGCTGAAGGACGGGGGATGAAGAAGGGGTGTCTCAGGACCCAGGGATCTCCTCATTGTCTCCCTCTTCCCTGTCTCCCTCTCCCCTGTCTCACCTAATTACTTTTCACTCCTTCATGGACCCTGGAGATCCCTGCCTCACCTCCCTCCCTTGCAGTAATGGAGAAGCAGAACTCCAGATGCATGGGTGGGGTCAGGTCCAGGGCTTCAGGGACTCACCCAGCCCCAAGAAGACCCATTGCAGGACAGCAAACACTTGGAGACACTGGCAGAGGTGGCTGGAAGAGGCTGGCATTCTGTAGAGGGAAGTCACATAGGCGGCCACCATAGGCTCTTAAGCACACCCCTTTTTGGGCCAACCCATTGGCCCTGACCCCTGGCTCTGGTTCCATCCAGTTTCTGGCCCCTTTGCTGACTTGCACACTAGACTTTAATGAGCCCCAGCAAGGAAGAACTAACAACTAACTGAGCTCATAGAAGTGAGCATGGGTGTGGCCAAACAGCTTGCGGGTGAGTAAGATGTTTGGCCTTAATGGAGGTCAGAACCTCTGGCCTGTGTGAGAAGCCCACTGGCAGAGGTCTGGGAAAGTGGAGGTTTGCCAGAGTGGTGTGTACCATGAATGGCAGGGGGCCCAGACATGAGTGAGAACAGTTTGAATACACCTCAGTCACCAGGCCGGGCCCCTAAGGAGCAGCCTATGACTCTTGGGGAGCTGCTCTAGGGGGAAGGGTTTTGTGGGGAAAGCTAGGGATTGGTGAGCTCCTCAAGAAAAGGCCCAGTGTGCTATGGGCATATCCTCCAAGTGGGCTAGGGCCAGTCCTTACTGTCACCATGGCCCTCCCAACAGCGACCAGAGGCTTGTGGCAGCTGGCACCTTCTCCAGCCAGGTCAGAGAATGCCACCTCTTTAGGAAAGTCTGACAGACATCCCATTGGGTGCCTTTGTCACATACTCTTCCAGCATAAAATACTTTCTATCATGGTAAATTTTCTTTTTGGCTTAAAAAACAAACATTTATTTTTCAGAGATTACAGTAGCTTTCTGATTAAGATCTCCACTAAGCTGTAAGCAACAAAAAGGCAGGTAATGTGTTTATCACTGCAGCCCTAGTGACGGGTGCCTGGAAGATGGGAGATGTTTTGTAGATAACAGACGGGAGATGCTTTGTAAATGAATGGACCCAAGCTTCCATGCCCAGGACCTACTGCGCAGGCTGGTCCACCCTTCATGTCCCACTCTCATGCAGGCTTCCTCACAAGAGATATTTTCTTCTGTCCCTGCTCAGCCCACTTCCATCCGTAGGGCACGTGATGAGGGTGGTGGGGACCGGGGTGAGATGAACTTAAAAGTCTGGCCAGAGAGATGCTCAGTCCACATGGTAAGGTGACCCACCCACTTAGGCGATCCACCCTACTCCCCACAAAGGAAGACTTCATGCACGAAGTTTTCCTAGGAGTCTGGGCAGGAGGCAGGAATAAGACGTGGATGGCAAGTGAGGTGTTGGAGGCAGAAAATGTCCTGGGACAGATGAACAGGTCTGTTTGGATTTTAAAAGGCTTCTGCAAGGGACCAGTTGGAAGACAAATTCAGGAAGGTAGGCTGGTGCAAGGCTGGGAAAGATCAAACTGAAGGGGCTATCCTCAGGGCTCCTCAAGGGATCTCAGCAAGGGCTGATGGTCCCCTAGATGTTGGAAGCAAGACCTGCTCTCAGGAGGTCTCTCTCCTCTTTTCCAATCTTGCTTCATATTCCTCTTCCAGGAAGCTTTCTTAGAATGACTCACTAGGGCTTCCCCTTTCCTGATACCACCCAACTAAAAGCTTAGGTCCCAGAAGCCACAGTAAGGCCTCAGCTGCCTTCCCTTATAGGACACATGCCTCCAGGAAGCTTTCCTTCCCTGAGCACTGTCCCTGAAGCCCAGCTCAGGGCTTTGCCGCCTTAATGTAAAGGAGAAGATGCTATCAAGTGATGAATCGGGGAGAAGAGTGTGGGAGCTGGCTTTCATCTGAACCTGATAGTAAAGTCTGTTTGTTTGGCCCTTCTCAAGCACTTCCCCAGCTCAGGCAATAAAGGGCATTGAGAAATAGGATCCAGGGAAACTTCTAGGTTCCCATACTGTTCTAACATTTTGCTTCTTCTGCCTTTTCTTCTCTGTTCTTTTTCTTTGGAGTGACTCCAGTTCTCCCTCTGCTCTGGGTGGCAGGAGGGGTACGGGGTCATTAAGTAGATGAAAGATGATAAATGGACTCAAGAGTTACAAATCCTCCTTTATTGGGAGGGAGGCTGAGAAACAATAAGTTATCACACAGGGAACCCTACCGAAGCCCCCTCCCTGCAAACTCTTGGGAGCTGAGGGGAGGAACAAGGGGGCTCTGGGAGCTTCCTGAGAGAGCTGTGTGTGTATGGGGGTGGGAGAAGGTGACACATTCAGTCCCAGACACACCAAACTACACTTAGGAAGCGAGGAGCCAGACAGACCCCCTCCAAGGAGGGGGACACAAGAAGGCACAATGGCAGGAGAGGTTTGACAGAGTGGTCGAGTGTCAGGGGTCGACGAAGGACACCATAATGTAGCGAGTACCCCTGGTGGTGGGCAGCCCTTCGTGGTAGTGGGTAAGACGGCCAGGGTGCAGGAGCCCCCAGCCCTTCCGTGGGGCTGAGACCACGCAGTCATAGCGTAGGAAGCGGCAGCCGCCTCCCTGGGAAGGGGAGAAGGGGACAGAAGGAGAGAGTGAGCAGACATGGGGTTTGGGGACAGGCAGATACAAGGGCGTGAGAGGTAGACCAGAGGGATAACACCCTGTCTGCCTGGGGCGATGGCAGACAGGGAGATGCAGGAGGTAGGGGGAGGCAGCC